TTGTCCTTTTGGAACGTTTGGAAAGTGTTTCATGAGCTTTTGAGGCTTGCAAAGATCTTTTTAATACCTGTCAGTACTGCATCTTGTGAAGTTTCTCTGCCCTAAAAACCATCTCAGAACTTCCATGGCAGATGATTGAGAATCAGAATCAGAATCAGAATCAGAATCATTTTTATTGCCAACGTAAGTAACAGGAGGTCACAGACTTGGAAATTGCTTTGGCTCAGTGCAACAGTCAAAAAGAGATAATAAAAATAAGAATAAAAAACACTTCTAAAGAATAAATTTAAATTTAAAATAGAGTTACAGTTACTATTTACAATATACAAGTGCACATGGTGCACACAATGTTAGGTGACAGCAGTACAGTGAAGTAAAGTGACGTATGATGGGCAGTAAAGTGACTTTATAAAGGGCGGGGGGACAGGTTACGAAGTGTTCAAGAGTCCAACAGCAGAGGGGAAGAAACTGTTCTTGTGGCGGGAGGTTCTAGTCCTGATGGACCGCAGCCTCCTGCCTGAGGGGAGTGGTTGGAATAGTCCATGTGCAGGGTGAGAGGGGTCGGCTGTGATACGACCAGCCCGGCCTCGAGCTCGGGCGACGTACAGGTCCTGCAGCGATGGAAGGCTGCGGCCGATCACTTCCTCTGCAGAGCGCACAATGCGCTGTAGTCTCTGTTTGTCCCTGACTGTGGCTCCAGCGAACCACACGGTGACGGAGGAGGTGAGGATGGACTCGATGATGGCCGTGTAGAACTGCACCAACATCTGTGCAGGCAGCTTGGCTTTCCTGAGCTGCCGCAGGAAGTACATCCTCTGCTGGGCCTTCTTGATGAGGGAGCTGATGGTCGGCTCCCACTTGAGGTCCTGGGTGATGGTGGTGCCCAGGAAACGGAAGGACTCCACAGAGGTGATGGGGGAGTCCATCACGGAGGGTGGGGGTGGGGGGACAGTGCTCTTCCTGAAGTCCACAATCATCTCCACTGTCTTCTGGGCGTTCAGCTCCAGGTTGTTACCACTGCACCAGGACACCAGCCGGTCCACCTCCCTCCTGTAGGCGGACTCATCGTTGTTGGAGATGAGTCCAATGAGGGTGGTGTCGTCCGCGAACTTGATCAGCTTCACGGAGTCGTGGCTGGAGGTGCAGTGGTTGGTGTACAGGGAGAAGAGCAGGGGAGAAAGAACACAGCCCTGTGGGGCTCCTGTATTTATAATCCGAGAGTCCGAGACATTCTTCCCCAGACGCACTCGCTGCTTCCTGTCCGTCAGGAAGTCATCTTGGTATCCTCAGTGTAGGGTAAAGGAGGGCTCAGGGCTGAATATGGATGAGTTTGTCAACATCTTTGCTGCTTTACACCAGAACCACAGGAATTTGCTACATTTGTTAAAAGAAAAATGTAATCCAATGTTTGAATGATGTCATTTTGCACTTTTTTGTTCAGACTACTGTTTAAATACACTTTTTTGCTTTGTAGTTTCCAAGTGTGCTCTCAGTTCACTTTATATTAAAAATAATGACAAGATTAAGATTCAAATGTATCGTTTAGCCAGTTTTTGTGTGAAATAAAATTTCTGAATAGTATAAATGTGGACCCCTTAAAAAAACCCTTGCCACCCCCTGGCCACCCTCTGTTTAAAAGTCTGGCTCCGCCACTGGGTGACAATCAGAGCTGCCACCCAATTCACAATGCACCAGGGCCTCACTGATCCTCTGCAGGTTGTGGGTCCACAGGAAGATGGCTGCTCACACAGATACGGCGTTGATCTTTCAGCGGGGACTTTAGGCACATTGGGGTTAAGTGTCTTGCCCAGGGACGCAACGACAGCAGACATCAGTGGGAGCAGATGACATGGGTCCAAAGACCAATGCTCTACCAACTGAGCTACTGTCGCCCTTTTTTTTGTCTGGTTAAACTGACACACAAGTATACCTTAACCAATGCCAGGAATTGTTTTGACTTTTCCACAAACTGCTTGGTTGTGACACTGCTCAGAAGTAGGTACTCTAATGTTAATTGTGTGTCGTGATGCAAATGTTTATGCGTCTGCTCCCTAATTATCCATCAGAGTGGTTTCATTATCAGGCTGGAAGAGGCACTGGAGTGGATGTGATCATCTGGCCCAGTCATTGTGTGGAGTGTGGAGGTCTACAGCAGTGGCTAAACACAAACCCAATCTGGTGTGTGCCCAATGCCAGCACGTGCACTGTGGGAGCATATGGTTGACATTTTCGGCCAAAGCTGAGGCAGAAACAGTTGGTGGCAACAAAATGGACATAAGACCCCCGTAAAACTGCACACCCAGGTCTCGGAAACGTTCGGTGACAAGCTGTGTCAGAGGAAAATTAAATTAAAATGGGGCGACAAACTCATTAGTGTTGCTGCAGGTTTTCATTTTAACCAAGCAGACTCCACTTATTCCATCAATCTGGTTAAGAATGGACTTTCCTAACCCAAAGACCTGATGGAATGAGTGGTGTACTGAAAGAAAGTAGTTTTAAAAATAAATGTGTATAGCATGTCCCACCACCATTAATTTGCCATTGCCAAAACAATATTTTTATATTGTATTATACTGAATAACAATTATTTGTACTGCATTAATGTAAAATGTGAGTAAGGCAACCATATTGTTTTCTATTTTGAACTGCCACAACATCAAATCAAAGTTCTTCCTCTTTGTTGGTATTATAGCTGTTGTTCACAAAACCAGGCAAGGAACAGTAGAGATTTTGGATTGTATTTCATTTTCAAGGATTACTGTCTCTCAAACATCTCTCAAACTCCTCTCTTCCCTAAACTCATCAGAAACTCAACCATGTTTTAATCTGCAATATAAACATCCCGCCCTCCCGTCTCCCAAGTCCTTACAATGTTTGTTATTCATAATTCTGCATCGTAATTCCAAGGTACTTTTAGAGGCTGCTCAAAAGGCTTAGAAACAGAACCGCTTACTACTGCCTCAGTGTAATTGCCTTTTTGGGACTGACCAATTTTATTTTACAAAATTCTCAAAATTGATTTTATTGCCTTACACGCGAGGGAATGAATTGCAAATAGTTTGTCTTTTTATTTTCAACAACTGGCAGCATAACTCACATCGACAAACAATGCATAATCAGACCCTCAGGAAAACTGCGATGAAGATTTATGTGCAAGTAATAATGATGCTGAGTGAGTGCTGTGCTCCTTCTGCACCCTCTGCCTTTCATCCATCCCGACTTCCTTTTTATAGGTGTCATTTTGACTACTTTTTAACATTGCCGAGATTTGCTAGGTTGTCCGAATGAATTTTAATATTTCCTTAACATTCCCATGCATTGTTAAAGAATGGCATTCTGAAACTAGTGGCAATGTGGTTGTACTTTTGTAAGAACGCTGTTATTTTTTTTTTTTTGTGGTTGAAGAAACTTACACAGACAGAGAACATGGAAACTCCCCTCCATGTGGGATTCGAAGTTAGAGCGCCCACCGATCGGCCTCCGCGCAGTTTCAGTTTAACACTAATCTTGCAGTGAAGCTGTGACATATTGAGGTCTCTTATTCTGTGACTGCTGGATTAAATAGAATACTCATTTGAAAGTGCCATTTCATATTTCTGCATTAAACCTGCATGGCCTTCGTTCTCATTAATGGGGACCTCAGAGGCCAGATGGGAGGGCCCTCAGAGCAAGAATACAATGTCATGTGTGAGGATTAGGACTTCTACAAGACATGGTAGTCTGCATGAAGTGGCACAGTGATGTTTTGAGTCTTCCTCTGTACTCACTTCAGTGGAGCCAAATCTAGCTCGGGACCTTACTGTGATTGTGAGTCAGATTTTGCTCTAAAAGTTTGTAAACCCCTGACCTGGTGACGAGCGCATGCTACAAAGTGCAAATGAGGCCTTCTGTCAAAGTATTCGCTGATTGCAAAAGTGCTTTAATAAACTTATTCTGTATTGATCATGTTTATTACTTTCTATAAAAAAAATATATGTATAGTGATCTGAAGAAGCCTGATTATTCTGTCTGGTCCTTAAACCTAATTACACCATTTACTTAGAATGAAAAATCAATTCCTTTTGTAGAAAATATATGGATGCATGGACTAAGGATAAAACGGGAAAATTCTAGCCTGGCCGTACCACACCATAGTACAAATTACATTTCGTACTAATGTCTGGAGGTGCTCCATTGACCTCCGTTTACAGGTGGGAGGGGTTAACTCCTTTTGCAGATTGAAACGATTGGATCTGAGTTTACCGTGACCGCGCCCTAGTCTGTTGTTAGCATTTAGGGTTAGGGTTAGGGTTTGCCGCTAACGGAGGCCGTGGGGGGGGTAGCGCCACAATTTTTTTTCCAGCGATTACATTTGGTAAACATTACCCTTGCTACTGCTTCAATTTCTTGATAGAACCAGACCAGATTACTTTACTATCGCATTTTTCGCCATTGCCAAACTACAACCTGCCCGTTTGACGCAAACTCTTGAAATCACCCACAACTAACTACAACACCCACCTCTCACGCTCACTGATTTGTCGGTCGAAATTCAACTGATTGTAATCGCGAACATGGAGACCAGACCCAGACGTTACATGCAGGGAAATGATGATTGAGCGGAGTGTACCGATGGCTAAGGCCAGGCTAGGAAAATTCAAAGTTCCGCAAACTTTTAATCATCCCACAGTGGGGAAATTACAGCCAGGCGCTTATAAAAATGTATTTTCACCAGAGAAATGGGCAAAAGTAATTTTGAGGCTGTACTTTTGTTATAAAAGGCAGTAAACTGCTCTGATGATGATGATATGGTGTATCCTGCTGGGCAAAATGACTGCAATAACACAGAAAAAAGTATCAATTCAGTTGTTGAGCATTTCTAAGAAATGATATGAAGTTTCCTTCCCATGGACACAACAATAACTAGGATCTAGGATTGCCTCATACGGCCTGAATGTAGCTCTATGGCTCTATGTATAGTTTATTGTCATTGTCTTAACCATTTTCCTCTCATCCCTCAGCTGTTTCCTGTCTCTCCTGCTCGTGGCCGCGGTGGTTTGGAAAATCAAACAGAGCTGTTGGGCGTCGAGGCGGCGAGAGGTATGTTTGAAGCCCTTTTGTTTGTCGAGGCTGTGCGCTTATACATGCGTTTTACACATCAGAAATGTGATGCTGGAGCGGCCCTGTTTGCATTGGTTTCTCGCAGATATGCTCAGCTGCGAGTAACACCGTGAAATTGCCAAGAAAAGCCTACTGCTGCTAAAAACCGTAGGAACTTAGACTCGTAATATCGAAATCAATGTTGTGTTCAGTGTGGCCTTGTATCTCAGCGGCATGTATTGACTGTACCAACGTCAGGCAGTCAAGCAGTACATAATACAAGTTGTTTGACTGAGCAGAAAGAGTCTGTCTTAACCTTATTCATAAACATCTTATCTCATGCCATTCTTGTAAGCCCTGTGGGACGCTTTGGGCTGAGAGCTGATTGGCTGAGTGAGGCTAGTCCTCTTTTTCATTATTCTGTCAATACATTCATGTATGTGAAGACTAGCGATTGAACCAAACTGCTGTGAGAGCAAGGAACTAAATAGAATGTATTTCCATGTTTTCTTTCAATTTTTGTAGTTTGAAAGTTTGGAACTACAGTTTTCAGTAGTCAATTTGCTTTTTTGTCAATTTGACAACCCTTTACTCTTTTTTTGAGGCCATTTCTTCTCGATTGACACATGATAATATTGTGGTAGTTTTGAGGGGTTTTTTTTATGTGATTGCTTATTTTATCACCAGCAAAATAAAATAAAAGGCTAAATTACTGCTTGATTCCAACCTTTTTCACTGTGTCAAATTGTTTTCCTATGCATTTTTCTGTCTCCATGTTGCATATTTACTGGAGACTGGGTTGTTGACTGGGTCTACTCAGCAAATACACTGAATCTAAATCTGATCACACATTTCCATGCTTTCCATTGCACTTGTTGCTGATATACTCGCTGATCGTATTCCATCCATCTTCTTGATTATTAGCCATTGCGTCGAGGTCAATGTCATTTTGCTTGTCCTAAAACTTTGCTCACATTTCACTTGTCTCTTTGTCCCTGTGAAACAACCTAATCTGTGTGATGAGTTATTATTGCTTTGGCCACATAGTGCATTCAACTGAAGACACGTCCAATTTGAGATTTTCCCTTTTTTTTTTTGGCCTCTCTTTTTTCTGACAGACTAATGCAGGCTTTTATCTCCACAAGATTGCTTTGGCGATGGACAAAAGTGCGCACAGAAGCTCAGATGAAGTAAACGGTGTATCATACATTGCATTGCTGAGGTGTGATAACAACACATGGATTTAGCTCAGATTGGAGATGAAGGTGCAAAGAAAAATAAACTTGTGAAGATCATCAAATGCATTGATGTATCGGTGTGAAATATATGGGATATACTTTGTTGCCTTTTTTCATCAACACAACAATAACAGGAGAATGTGTGCATTGGTAATAAGATTGTGGCTCACATGAATTCTACACTTTCTTTTATGTATACAAATGTAGCACAATATTTATTTACTTTTTATTCAGCAATGACATTCTTACAGTAATAACTATATTAACAATAACACAAAATAAATGGCTAATTAGCACACAATAATATGGGCCATCAATTAAAAAAAAAAATGTGCTTGTGTAGTCCCTGCTTTTTTCAACATAGTGATTCTCCTCCTTTTTATAACAAAAGTTTAGTGACAGCTTTGTGGTGAAGTGGATTATAGAAGGTCCTGGCTATTTTACTTCCAAACTAGGCCCTTTTGAGTATAGTTTGCATGTTTTCCCCGTGCCTGCATAGGTTTCCTCCCACCACTAAAAACATTTGCAATAGCTCCCCTCTCTCTGAAAGACATTCAGAAATCTCAGTCAGAATTGTAGAAATAAATGTTCCCTTCAACTGTGTCTCTGTAGCTTTTGCAGTGTAGCCATGTGACAGCAGCTGTGCAGTTCTAGACCATTCATTCATGTAAGTGATTGTGCAGGTGACTGTGCTAACCTGCCCCGTGTGAGGCAGGGGCAGCAGCAGCAGTGGCAGCAGCAGTAGTAGAAGAGCAATATAAAAGCATTGGGCAGAACTGATTGAGTTGTTTACCACTACAGGGACACTTTAGGACAGAAAGTTGATGGTTTCTATGTTGAATAATACATTTCAGCTTGAGAGAGTTATCATTTTGTGACATGTAGCTGACCGAACGAAAGGCTCTTTAAATTAAATATAGCCTGTTTGTAGCTTTGACTTTAGTTGTGAACTCTTTTGAGTGGACTTTTTGTACCTCTTGACCTCCTTTGTACCCGCTTCAGAGGATGCTATGCCAGGACAAAGTAGTCATTCTAACTTTTAAAACTTTGGCAATTGTCAGTGGAGTGTTGGTCAAAATTGAAGCCTAATAAAAATAAAGCACAAGTGGAAGTTGCACTGCAGCAAAAGTTAGGTTTTTTATTAAAGGGGAAAAGATGTCCTTAGTATTTTGGAAGCAATGGAAATGCCTAGAAACTTAAAATGACTGAATTTGATGCAGAGACTGTAAATAGATGGGCATTGCTGACCCCGTAGCTCCATGAAGTGCTCATGGATTAAGTTTTGCTCACATCTTGATAGAGATTTTTTTCTTGTTCCTTGATGTTAGAGTTTTTGTTTTATTTTAATTTGTATAGCTATTGTTCATTTATCTTGTGCTGTGTGCTCCTCATTCCTACTGTTCTTTAACTTGTTATGCAACACTAAAATTTCCCTGCTGTGGAACAAACTTCTGCCCACTACTGGCTAGGCGCTAGAACTACATCGTTTTCAGTCGCTGTGTAGACGCTTTGCACTTTGAATCCGGAGTGGGGTTGTTGTGGGCTGCATCTCCTTGTAAACAGGGCCTTACATCGCAAAGTATATTCCTCTCGCTCAGTAATCATTCGTCACACTCACCTTTTTAGGCTGATAACTGACAACTGACCAATCGGGAGCATTCTGTCACTGAATTTAGCTAGCAAGTAACGTAAATTGGGACATACTGGCATTGTTCCTGACTGCCGCTTGGTAGCTTGTCGTTGCTACAAACATTTGCAAACATTTGTCACCACATTCCCGCTCAAATAGGCTGTTCATGCCAACTCTAATCAGCCTCACTATGAGTGACCTCATCACTCGGTCAGTCCACTCCTGATATACAGTCCATGATGCTAGAAAATGCAATTCAAGCAATAACTCGAATGAAATAATCCCACTGGGGCAACATTGACTCAGTTGGTAGAGCATTGGCCTTTAGGCCTGAAGGTCGTGGGTTCGAGCCCACCACAAGACCAACTTCACGACTCCCACTGATGACTGCTGTCGTTGTGTCCTTGGGCAAGACACTTAACCCCACTTTCCCCGACGCCCCCGCTGGAAGATCAAGGCTCCTGTGGACTCACCACCTGCAGGAGGATCAGTGAGGGGCTGGTGCTCTGTGTACTGGGTGCAGCTCTGACTGCCACCCCCCCGACCCAGAAATGGATTAAGGGGAAGAAAATGGATGGATATAATCCCAAAGGCCCCTTGCTTTAAACTTTTTATTTTAAACACACCTATTTAGATTCCACTTCTGTGATAAATTGCAACATGATGTTGATTAAATGTGGCTATTGAATGAGTAAAAATCAAACTGATCTCCTTCATAAACAGTGTTGGGGCTTGATGGATGCTGTGGGTCTATCTCCTTTAAACTTTTCATTTCCCCTTCACACTCTTTTCTTAATCTCTTCCCAAATGTTCCCCCTGAAAATGATGGCAATTAATTTCAACCTGAAGCATAATCACCTGTTAATGATTATCTTTGAGCCTTTGTTGCATGTTTACCTTGGCGATGGGAAGGAAATGCCGAGTACTTAATGGGGTTATTTTTTGGAATCCTGCACAGCCGATTCATCAGCGGATCATATTTACCAACTGTATTCAGCTGTTAAGAACTGTAAAATGAAGTATCGCATGAACAACGATGATTTGCTTTTTATTTAGCTGAAGTTGTCTGAATGATTACTTATTTTCTCACTCTATACTGAATTCTACAAATTCAAAACTTTTAATATGCACATATTAGCTGGTTATGATCTCTTTAAGCTTCATCAGAATCAGAATCATTTTTATTGCCACGTGAGTAACAAAGTTATCACTTGGAAATTGTCTTGGCAGAGAGCGTGCCACTTCGCCATTTGCGGCGCTGTGTGCAGCAAGAAACAGCAGAGAGCAATAACATACAGTTCACAGACAATTGGATAGACACATTGTGCTTTTTATAAACCACGGATTTTTTTCTCGGGATGAGCACCTCCGGCGGCCGGCCCAATGTAGCTGTCAGAAGGGGGCGGGAGATAAGAGTGGAGAGAAGACACAGCAGGAGAAAAACAGGAGATAGCAAGCCGTTCAGAAGCAGCAGCGGACTGAGACACGTCTTTGCTCGACGGAGGAGGAAGGAGGAAGGAGCTTGGATATACTGTTAACAGATATGGCTAACTTTATCGTTTTCAGATTTTCAGTCATTAATAATGGATACCTGGTGATTTCTGCCATTTTAAAGTGGTTAAATTAGGTAAAACCTTTCTTTAGTATAGCTGATATGTTTGACAAATGATAATAATTTCTATCAGATATTTCTGAAATCTCTGAATACCAACATCTTGTGGGAAGTTAAGTCAAATTGGTTGACTTCGATACTGGTTGATCCCCATTCTTTTACATTGCTAGCTGAGAATATTTATTTGCCCATCATTCATAATTAAGTATTAAAAAGTTCTTTATATACAGTAGATACTACAGGTTCATATGGTCAAAAATATGTATTTTCAGAATTTTTCAAGTTTCAGACACCATTATGTTGGATCAATTGACTGATAGATGTTAATTTGCCACACACATTCTAAAGCGTGAAAATTTGCACCAACACTTCTAAGCCAAGCTCTTTATCCTTTCTAGAAACCTTTTCTAAATAGACCATGTCCCGCTCATGCAGAAATATACATAATTACATACACATAACGCCTCGTGCAAATGCATATTTTTTGAACAAGCTGAAATTGCTGGTGCATAATTTCCAT